CCTTGCAAAGCAGCCGCAGTGGCATATTTAGGGAAGTGGAGTGGGATAAAATCACCCGGGATTACTCTGATTCCTGAAGACGGGGTCTCAGCTTCTCCAGGCGTAGGTCAGGCTGCCGAGCCTGCTTTAAAGGGGTAGCATCACGCCTCCCCAAAAGCCTCCTGACCTTTGATCTCTGCCCAGCAGATGCTCCTAGCCCGTGCTGGAGCACGCTTGCACGTTGCCCGTCCTCCTCTCCTTTAGGGATCCTCTGGCAACGCGCCGCCAGTCTGTCTCCTGGCGCCTTTGGGCAAGCGGTCCAGGGAGAGAGCTGGGTCCCCTCTGAGGGAAACATCGACCTGCGCCAGCGGCCTGGGGCGCTTGGAGGGCTCCCACACCTCTGGCTCTCGGGCCACTAGTGGGTTAATACCACCTTATTTTAGGTTAGCTTAGGAGCGCTGACCCCCACCATCAAACAAAGGTCCAGCCCTTGGACCAAAGAGTTTGTAATCTAAGCAATGGCCAAAGACCTCATATAAGCAAGTTAAGAGGAAAGCAAATGGACAGCAAGAAGGAAAAATGGCATGAAAATAGGCCCATGCCAGTTAACTGATCACCTACTAATGTGAACGATTATTTATTAATAGTCAAACCTCTCTGTTCAGGCAACATTCAATTGAGATTGCCATCCCCTAATCTGTGTCTGGAGACCAATGAATCACAAGGGACCAAAGGTTGTATTAGATGAATAACGGCAAGTAGCAAATGGCGTACTCCGATGAGGGACGCTTTTTATAAGCTCATTATCATCAGGAGAAGTGTGAATTATGAATAACTATAGATACAGCAGTGGAAAGATTATAAATGGCTAGAGCAGCCTGTTGAGCAGCCTGACTCTATAGCCATGAATTAACCCATTTATTAGAATATCTCACAATAATTTTTCACATCTTTACAAACTACTTATTTAAGATAAAATGCAATGCCACAATAGATCAAGTTAGGGTTCTCATAGGGATGTGAAAGGGGAAATTAACTGTGAAACTACTGAAGTAAAACTAAGTAAGTGACACATCTTAGATGTGCTGTTGAGTGCAGTGTTGATGCCACACATAAAATGGGATAATAGAAGAAACAGAGAAAATAGGGAGAAAGGAAAAATAAAACTGTGATACATGGAATAGAGGTTAAATGGTATGATGAAGAGGCTGAAAGTCCAGGGTGAGCAATTAAGTAATTACAGGAATGACTTACCTCAGCATAGGATGGTTTCCCCATTTATTACAGTCTTTACTCCTGGATAAGTATCTTTGAAAAAGTTAAGATCTTGTTCAAACAGAAGTAATGGGCTGGAAGGGCAGAAATTTCCAGATGATGTTCTTAAGTCTGTGCTATGTACATTATGCTGGAAGGTCGAAATGGTTCTTTATGACCTTAAAATCTACAAAAAATCAATTTTTACACACATAAACTCACACTTTAGGGACACTGCCTTCAAGGTACCACATGACTGTATAGCAAATGGCATAGTTAGCTAATGAAAGCAATAGTCAGAACAGATCTGGATCTTAGTAACGCATTT